GTTGTGATGTTCGGGGAGATTATGAAGACACTGGTCCGTATTGTGTTGCTGTTCTTCTACCTGATGTTGGCTTTCAGTTTGGCCTTCCATGCCCTGATGCTCAATCAGGTATTAAAAGAATGCAGTGATGCATATAACCATACATTTCCTGCAGGATGAAAGGGTATCATCAGATTTTCAAAATTTTGCATGTATATCAATGATCTCCAGAGGATTCCTTCAGTAACACGCAGACCTTTTTAATAACATCAGGTCACAATTTTTGTAAGAACATTCCCCCCACCCTTTCTTGTACCATCACACACACCTTAGAAAGCCACCAGAACGCTGTGTTCATTCACCGCTGCATATTTTATTGACATGGCTGCTAAAGTCACCTAACTTTAAAACTTCACTGTTGGTCAAAATTTAGGCCTGCACAAAACACTTGTGGGGATAGAACAATTCTTTAGTGTCCAAGCTGGGTACAGAAATGATTAAAACCTAGGCCATCTGGATGTCTGTTATAATAAAGTGTTAGACTGATTGTTACTAACATGCAATCACACGTTGCTGTTCTTTTTGTATCATTAGAGGGAGTTTAACAGCGTGCCGCTCTCTGTGGTACAAACCTTTGTGATGATGGTCGGGGAACTGAACTACCAGAACAACTTCCTGGATGAGTATCTGAATCATCGACTACCTTTTGGTATCCTGACATACTTCATTTTTGTGGTCTTTGTTCTGTTCATGCCAATCCTGCTTGTGAACCTGATGGTAAGCACACCCTGATCCCCATCTGCATCTTAAAGTAGTTTATGTGGCTATACATTTGGCTTGTATGTTACTATAAAAATTTCTGTTCTAGTGCTTTGACAGCAATTTTATCTAATCATGCTCTTGTCATAAGCTTTGTATTTTCAAAGGTCCTAACCAAAGGTTTTTGTCTTTGATTGTGTTGTAGATTGGTTTAGCAGTTGGAGACATTGCTGAAGTTCAAAGAAATGCTGCGCTGAAACGGATAGCCATGCAGGTTTGTATTAAACCAGGTTATTTTTTTTAACATAAAAAATACTTTGGATTTGGACTTTTTTTGATGTTGTGGTGTTTTGCTCTTGAGCCATTTTAACAAAATGCATGGAGCACTGACACATAACAAGATGATATATATGATATCAATGATATATTCCTCGCCCAAAATCGAACCCCTGACTAAATACCAGCCCTTCTGACCCCAGATTGATCTGCACACCGCTCTGGAAGATAAGCTCCCTTATTGGTTTATGAAACGAGTTGACAAAAACTCCATTACCATCTATCCCAATCACAGGTGTTCCAGGGTAAGCAAAAAAAAAAAAGAAGAAACAGATGATGTGCAACATGATGATTTATGTCTATAACTTATAGCAGCGAAGATTTTCTCCTTTATTAAACCTTCACATTTTTGATTGCAGCACTTTCTGAAGAAATTATTCTATGGTGAAGAGGAAACCAATGAAGTCTGGAATCATCTGCAAGCCAAATCAAAGGCATGCACTTTGATCGAGAATGAGCTCAAAAAGCAGAAGACCAGGTAAGGCATGCACATGAAAGTCAGTTTTCATGTTTCTCAAATCATAAAAGTGTGCAAGCTTATTATTGCGGTAATGGATGAGTATTACAGGTACAATGATCTAGACTGTGCATGCTGAAAGCTAAAGTTGGAATTAAGGAAAAGTAGTTTTTGATGCATGAGCGACCCCTACAGATCCCACTCTGTATCTCTGTTTCTATAGTAAGCGCATCAAGTCACCCAGGAGTCTGACCTTCCAGCAGTCTCATTATAAATCTAGGCAAGAGCGAATGAAGTCTGTCACTAAGTGACATGAATTGATTGTTTTGTCTTTGTTTTTCGTTTTCCCTGCAGAATGAAAGAGATGTCATGCCTGCTAGAGAAGCAGCACTGCCTCGTAAAGCTCATCATCCAGAAAATGGAGATCGCCTCTGAGGCTGACGAATATGACGGCCCCGTGAATGTCAGAGGGAGCACGTGGCCCGCTTTAGGTCAGGCTAAACCAAGCAGAGATACTACATCTCGGTGGGTCCCACTAATGAAGGCCATCGAGGCCAGGCGAAAATGAAGACGATGAAACAACACAAAGTGACAACTAAACTCACTGCAAAGTGAATTGTCTGAAAAGACTAGATCTATATGGCATAAAAGGATATTAAATAGGTATAAATGTAATCACTTATATTCCAATTTAACAGCAGCGTTCACTATTTACATGTTGTAACAGTAGTAACAGTTAATTATATTGTTATTAATAGACTTGCCCTAACTTATATGTGGTTTTTTGAGACATTACATACTTAAAACGATAATATTAATGGTATTATTGCAAAATCCTTCATTGTTGGATAAAAAAGTAACATTTCTTGTGCTGTAGGCTACTTTTAAGTTATACCAGTGAGCTACTGATAAATGATTTCATAGTGTGCAAGCAGTACTGGCATATTTCTATTACACACTTTTTGTAAAGTGGCTTGAAGTCCAACTCCTGTTCTTTTACTCTATAGATAAGAAGGTTCATCAAACCTAATTTAAATCTAGTTTTTCATTAGATTGACATAATAAACATAGAATTTGTAGCTACAATAACAGTGTGCTTGCATCTATGTATCGTCCATCTGAAATGTGTGCTGTTGCGCCATCTTCTTTGGCTTGTTTCTGTCATTGTTATGATGCTCTTTGTCACATGTGCTCTTGTAAAATGGTACACAAATAAACATCATGACATCAACAGAAGCCTACTTCGTATATTTTGTCATAAAATTCCAGCACATTGTTGGGCACAACTTACTAAATAGCATAAAACAATAATAAATACATAAATTAAAAAGGTTATAGAAGTTGATGGTTATAGTCTCTGATTTGTGCGCTTTTCACTCAGCAGCTTAATGTGCTGCAAGCTTCTTCAAAGGCAATCATGGGAATCATAAGTGGCTGGGAGGGAAACTGAGTCAGGCCTGTGACATCATGAGCCTGCACCTGTCTCTCTGCTTTTCCCAGCTTAGGGCTGTGATAGAGGTCAAGACCCCTGAAAGTCTTTGCTGACGGACAGATGCTTGCTCTCCCTTCAAGTCAAGTTTTCAGTGTTATTTATTATCGCTGGCCCTGAATCTAATTATTCCCAAGGCAAATACAATAACCATGTAGCCATCGGTTAAACTTATTTTTTGGACAATATGTTCTTCTTATTATTCTTCTCTTTCTTTCTTTTTATTGAAGCACAATATGCACAAAATGACAAACGAGCAAAGTTTTATCTCAACCTGTTTCTCGGTGACAGTGAATGAAGCAGCAATGTGAAATATGTGTCATACAGCCAATACCTTTCACTGTTAGGTTTTTTTTTTTTTTTTTAAAAAAGAGAGAAACACTGTAAAAAGAAAATTAAATCCGTCAGCAGGATCCTATAACTCGCACCTTCAAGAGTGTCACTCACCTTGCTGACGGATGCAGTGATGGAGGATGAGTTGGCAGCATGCCTGAAGCTCTGACTGTCATACCAGCACAAGTAGTACCTAATATTTCAGAGTCGTGACATATCCAAGGGTGTGCTGAGCAGAGGGATCCCTCAAAGCAGCAGCTGATCTCTGCTTTTGTGAAAATTGCTTGGAAAAGCAGGATTACAGGAAGCAGAGGAATGTGTCCTTGGATTAAGGAAACATTCTTGCATTCTTCTTCTTCTGTGACAGAGGAAAATTGTTGGAACTGGTAACAATCAATCATATTACAACTGAGGTTTTTATTTGTTCAGAAAGGTGTGACTTGAAGCCAACATGCTGGAATAAAGCTTAACTGTCGGGGTACAAGGCGGCATCGGGCCCAGTGCCATACAGTAATTTCCTTATTTTCTCTCATGGCCCCTGCGTGGCTGCAGGGGCTGAGATGTATGCTTGGCCAAAATCAAGCATACATCTCAGCTGCTGTTAAGTAATCCTTGGCAATGCCTGGCTATTGTCATAAAAAATATAAAATTTCACACATATTACGTGGTGTAATAGCAAACAGGGACCTGGGATTTTCTGGAAATATCTTTCTTGACAGACAAAGAGACGGCGCGAGCAGAGAAAGTATGAATCAAAACTTGAAGAGAAAGTGTGGCCATTCAAGTTTCTTCTAAATATTTGTTTGCATTTTTGAGAAGTGTTTGCATCACACTGGAACACGAGTGGTCTTCTTAGTGTTGCACAAAAGTCAGCTTCCCATGGGATCTCAGCAGAGACACTTCTGTCCCTCTTCCCCTCTGCTCTACAGCTCAGTCCTCATATCGCTGATTAAACCACCAAACCAACGCACAAAAGAAATGCAAATATGGCCAAGACACCCAGTAAAAATATTTGTGATACTACAAGAATGAAGATGGTGCCTCCTTGCCTCTGCCACACCCATGTCATGCCAACGCTCCAGATGTCATGGGAACCAATAACAGCTGGGGCTCGTACACACAGGCTGCGTGTGAAGCGCTGCTCCATCTGCAGAAACCCAATCCCTCTGTGAACGCAGCGAAGGATTAAACACTTTTGATAAGGTCCTCGAGACCAAAACACATCTGTGGGACCACAAACCGGAGGACTTTTTACTGAATATAATGTAGTTGTAATTGTTGCAATGGACTGAACCTAAATCAGGGAATTAGTGCTCGCCAATAAATTTAGAATGTTTAAGGAATTTGCAAAAAAAAAAAAAAAAAGGGGTAAAATTATTGCACAAACAGCTTTGGAGGAACTTCACTGCATCTTTTGCTTTAACTATCTCTGAGGGCAAATAGTTGACAGGACTTAACTTTTAAAAAAAAGATGCAAATGAGCAACATGTGTCTTTAACAGTTTACACAACGAGATGGAGTTGTGGTCTCACTGAGGTCATGGTCGCTCGGACAAAAAAGGGGGAGGAGAAATGCTCAGAAAAAAAAAACTGTGCAGATGCCAAGTCCATGACACTTAAATTAGAGGGATAGCTAGGCCATGTCTCTTTAGACAGAGCTGTCTTTAGTTCGTGCAGATGGTACTGTAGTGAATCAAGGGTTGACGTTTTAGCGCTTCTGTGGGAAATAAGTTTCAGGGTTACCAAATGGAAATTTAAAAAGGAGGTGCTGACTTGCAGCCTTTCGTCATTTACTTCACTGTTGTCTCTCGTCCACATTGCCACTCCAGTCTGTTTCCCCAGGCGCAGGTGGAGCAGCCATGTCCACTGGCTCTGCTGCAAGTGATGCCGAGGACGACGAGACACGCCACAAAAGGACTACCGCTGCCTTGGAGGCCACCGCGCGGAAAGTCACCTGCTATAATCCCAGCCGGTACTCGGAGGAGGAGTTGGAAGACGAAGGTGTTGAGGGGAGGATCAAGCAGGAGCACAGACTTTCCAAAGCGCACCAGAGGGAAACGCGACAGTCGCAGAGGAACGCGGCTAACGCCAGGGAGAGGGCGAGGATGAGAGTGCTGAGCAAAGCTTTCTCCAGACTGAAAACCAGCCTGCCCTGGGTCCCAGCGGACACCAAACTTTCCAAACTGGACACCCTTCGTCTCGCTTCTAGCTACATTTCCCACCTTAGGCAGCTTCTGCAGGATGACCGATTCGAGAGCAGATTTGCACACCCTGTCAGTCTGGTATGAATGCCAAACTTTTTCAGCCATGACAGAAATCAACTTTTTCTTTTATACTTTTACACATCGCTTCAGCAACTATAAAACTAACTGTCCTCTGCTTCTGGCTTTCAGTATGAACCCTATTGTCATCTTTGCTGACATGACAGAATGCATGATTTTTCCAAAATGAAAGCCATTCTGAATTAACCATTGTCATTCTGAGCAAATGAATTTGTATTCTTCTCCAACAGACCTGGCCATTTATGATGACAGGAAGGTCAGAGGAAGACATCTCATCATCTATGAGACTTTGTGGAGCAACAGCTTAGGCGACACGTCTTCACCCACCAAGCTCAAGCTCTTCGGCTAAAACCTGAAAACAACAACAACAATAAAAACAAAAAGGAGGGGCATCAGTTTGACCCCATTTTAACCACATGCCCTAAACAATGACTGTGAATTTAAAACTATTGTGTTTTACTGCGTGCATGTTTGCTGAAATCAGTATTATGTCACATTTACACTGAGTGTAACTTCTAATCTTCATTTATGCTTGATTTTTTTGTGTGTAAAATTTGGATTTAGCAAACTTCTTTAATATCTTTCATCCCATCAGTTTGTGCACAGCATCATTAAACTGTTATATGGCTGAACACACTTTTGATACATTAAACAGTTTTGGCAGCTCGGCCTGTGCATGATGTCCAGTTGCAGTTTGATTCTTTCATTCTGTTCTATGAGGGAATTTAAAAAAAAAAAAAAACACCTCACAACTTAAAATACTTTCTGCTTTTTGCTAGTTTGGCTTGACACTATGACAGTAACCACAATAATTCACCTGTATTGTAGATCTATTTATTGTATTTGTGTTTTAAAGTCTTTGCATTTGAGACAATGTGAGAATCTGTCTGCATTTATTGTTTCCATAGAAGTTCACCATTTAGCCATATGCATGTATCCATGCATTGAGAACTGCTGGATAATTCGGCACATCTGCAGGAGATGAACATCAGAAAGCGCTCACACGATAAAAAGCGAATTATAAATGTTGAATATCTGTGCCACTTGCGTAAACAAAACCTTTTAATTATCAGTGTGTACACATTCTTGATAGATGCACTGAAACGATAAAGCCAGGGCAAATATTGGACTTGTCACACACATACAGGCTCCGTAATGAACTCTAAATGTGACAAAATCTCCAGCGTTGTCACAAAAGGTCCAAATAAGTGGCTCAACCAAATCAAAATGCTAAATTTGTGGTGGTCACAAGGTTAAAGAAATTCATCTAAGTCCTCATATCAGCTGCTTGGAGCCGCCACACATGACTTCTCATTTTTGGCAGCAGGAGGTTGGAAATCTTGAACACCGCACCACACAGTGATAATATTCACATTCATATAAGAGACAAGTTCAGCGAAAAAATCAAAGGTCACTGGTAGAATTCCTCAGTAACCTGCACCCCTCCATACATTGCATATACCTCTTGCGGGAGCACACACACTCATCCAACTCCATGCTTAGTTGGCAGAGAGAATGGATAACGGTGATCTCTTGATCTGGGGGTCATTTTATCCAGTTAAACCCCCCAAAATGATGTGAGTACAGATGGGCTGAGATCCAAGCCCGGGCAGTCTGGTGGGACAGACTGACAAAACAGTTTAAATGAAAGAGAAAGAAAGAGGGGAGAGGATGAGTTTTCATCAGGTTCATGTAGAGCTGCAGCTGTTGCTGCATTGGTGAGTTTCCCAGAACTCTGAACTGCTCTCCTGGGAGAAACTGGCCACTCTCTTGGACCCGGAGTAGCTAATGAGCTGCCTTCTCACACTCACTCCGCCTGTTGTCGTACCATCTACTTAAAAATGTGGCACTGAGGGACAGCATCTTGTAAATGTCTGATGTGCAACTTGACTGCACTGCAAATGAGGTGCCATTAATCAAAGCGTGGCACGTCAACAGAATGATGATATTTGGGCAGTGAGCTGATTCCTTTCCTGAAGTTCCTGAACGACTGAAGGTTTTTTGGTTTTTTTGTGTTTTTTCACAAACCAAACAATTTGTCTCGGTTTATGTCAACACTGGCCAGAGCAAATGAAGACGCCTAATGAGACTTAAGCTGTGTTTTAGAGCTCGTGCATTTTGTAAATGTTGCATGAGTGGCATCTAGTGGTGAAGACTGTGAACAAAACACGCAGAAGTTTAATTTACTCGCATTTATGAGAGGAAAAAATATTTAAATGTATATTTTAGATATATTCAATTTCCATAACTTTGTAGATTGGGTATGAAAGACTCTTTTAGAAAAAGAAAGTCCACAGTTTCCAGGTAAAAATGCTTCTTCTATTGTTGATTTAATTTACAACCATACACGCACACAGTGACAGTCATTTCTAAGTAAATGGACAATGTCAGTTTGCTTCTTCTGGTTTAATATTGTTAAAAGAAGTGAAATGATTTCATTTCAGCATACAGGATTTGTATATATTTTAAGAAAAGCAACTCTTTATTAAAGCCATGTCATCTAGTATTGGATAATAGAATAGAATAGAATAAAATAGAATAGAATAGAATAATCCTTTAATTGTCCCACAAGGGGAAATTCGGTTGTAACAGCAGTAAGAAAAACACATATACAAACAAACAGGACACAGGACACAGAACAGAAACATACACATTATTTTTACATATTTACATCAAGGAAAATAGTTACCAAAAACAGAGTTCTGTACAGTTATTAAAATTAATAAAAATTAAATACAGATAAGAGGCAAACCCAGGTTGTAGTGTGAATCGGTTGATAAAATAGTGCAAGTTACAGTGCTGATGTAAACATCTTTGTTTGTTGGGAGCAGTTTTGATTGTACAGTCTGACAGCTGCAGGAAGGAAGGACCTGCGGAAACGCTCCTTCATGCATCGAGGATGCAGCAGTTTGTCACTGAAGGAGCTCTGCAGTCCTTCTGTCTCCCATCACCTGCACTGGGTCCAGGTAATAAAAGCAGAGACATCAGGGAACATTTTTTGTATGGTGTAAAACTAGAGCTGTCCATTATAACAATAGTGACTGGGTTTAGCTGCCTCTGCGTTGTGTTCATGCTGGCACTTAAGTTAATACTGAACCATTTCTGTTCTATCTCTTCTAACGTAGTCAGAATATATGAAAAACTACAAGAGGTAGTTTGTACTTGTTAAACTAAATCCAAGTGTGTAGAAGTCAATTAAAAAAACAAAAAACAACAAAAAAAGACCTCAATTTCAATCACCCCTAATTTAATAAAGCTACAGTGACAATACTTTCAATCCTAGAGTGTTCCCAGAAGTCCTTTGCTTTTATAGTTTTTTTTTTTGTTTTCTTTTCTTATTGCAAAGCAGGAAACCCTAAACGATTCCTCATCTGATAAAGGATTAAAAATCCAGATGTAGAGCTGTAAGGTCAGCTGAATCAGAAATGAAATGAGTCTACTGTCAATCAGACTTTTAAATGCGTTTACAAAATGTTTGAATATTTATCGCCAGCAGAGGTCAGCACATCTTCACGTAAGTATTCAGGGTAAGGCCAGACTGAAAGTCTAACTACCCTCCTAAAATTGTACAGCATATTTAGAATGATGTTAAATTGATATTACATTGATTTTCAGTGATTTTTCCTCTATTGGTTATTTATTTATTTATTTTTAACAATAATTCGAATGAGAATACACCAGCAGCTCATTTCCTCTCTTGGTTCTCGTTTCCATTCTACACTGAAATATGTATTTCTTCTTTGTCTTATATATATTTATTTTATTTTATTTATTATTCTTTTAAAAAAATCATTAGAATGAACACACTGTTTTGATATAAAATTACCTAATCAGCCATCAAGGCTCAGCACCATCGAGTTTTTTCTTCTTTTCTTCCCCTTTTTTTTTTGTACATCTGAATTTTTTTTTTTTTTAGTTGTAGAAGAATTTCCATGAACAGGAAGGAAGTGTAGCTCCAAAGCCAACATCGGGGGGTTCAGGAAGGCTGCCGTTGTAACTACCCCAAAAACACTGACTTTAGGCCTGCAGACTGCAGGAATCCAGACTACATGCTTTGACCTTTTCATAACCACAGTCAGCGTGTTTGTTGTTCAGAATCAAGTACGCCAATACTGCTAATGAGAAAAGGCATATGCTAATCCCCAACTGTTTAAATCATGCTAATGTACCTGCTTCTCCATGGGGAGATTAGTTCCTCTCCAAGGTTAATTTAAAAAACAAACCTACGATTGATTAAAAAAATGAAGTTAAGGTGATTTCTGTAATTAAAAAAAAAAAAGTAGTATTTTGTATTATCGGTAATTAGTTCTTAAGATAACTTGCTGTATTCTCATTAGCTTTGATGCTATGCCTATATGTGCCTACATCTCTATGAATACGGATGTGATCTCGGCAACTTCCTTTTTTAAGGTAGTTCTAGAGTGAGGGAGAAAAAAAGTGTATCTGTTTTCTCTGGTGCGTGAGTGTGAGAGATAGGGGCAGACGCAGCGAGGCGATCTGTCTGGTGCACAAGACTTCCTGTTACTCAGTGGAGATGACACACTCTTCTGTCAGATGATTGGGTTACAGCGCAGGGCTGGTAGACTCCTCTCAAGAGAGGATTCAGGCTCTTTGTGGCAAGACGCGGTGGACGCGCTGAAAGGGAAGGCAGACGCAAGTGAATAATAAAAGAGCAGAAGAAGACGGCAGAGAAGATGCACAAACAAGGAGGGGCGAAGAGAGCTGAAGGTGAGGTGGATTGACAAAAAATAAAAACAACATCCACGCAAGCCTCCAGGCCCTTGCTTGGCCTCATTCACCATTGTCTCCCTAACTGGGTGACAGGACAGGAGTATCAGCCTTGCACGGCTGTCTGTTGACTGGGTAAGCTGCTGAGCTTCTTGGGTGGCGTCCTGGTTCCAGTGTTCCTGCAAACAGGAGCCAGAAGAAACAGATATTTGCGTTTGCTCTCAGGGCATGTGAAACAGTCCAAGCCATGTTTACAAGGATTGGGCGGTGCCCCTCGGGCTTATTATCTTGTCCTCACCTTTCTTTCTCTCTCACAAAGAGATTCACACCAACAGGTTTTTTTTCCCCCCACTATGCTTGCTTTATGTTCACACTGACTGCACATTTTCACCCATTGTCTCTGAGTTCCTGCTGGTTTTGGTTCTGCAGATATGTACATTACTGTGTTGCAATAAACAAGCTATGAATCATGCCATTTGTGCCCAGTAGTAGGTGCACATTAAAAAAAAAGAATGAACGAAATCCCACATGCAAAGTTTTACCTAAACACTCTTTTTAGGTTGAAAAAAAAATCCATAAATTCATTATTAAATGGAATATAAATGACACAAAAACATCTTTTAAAAAGATGACTCCTTTGGCATTAACACATAACCCTAATGAGGTCAGAATTTTTTTTTTATTTAAAACAAGGATTTGCACTAAAATCCTCACCACTAGACCGAATAGCTTTCACACTTTCTAAGCTGGTACCATCGTCATTCCAGTTCGCCCTCCGGTGGCATATTCTCCCCGAGTTCATCTTCTGATGTTACAAAGATGGCCACAACCTGACAATGGAGATAATATTTTCCTTTACAATGGCTCCCACTATCTGCTCAGGGCGAGGGCTCAGTAAGTAGCCCGGGTTTTCCCATCCCTGTCAGACAGCAGCCCAGCCCAGTGGAGAAAT